AACAGTATCTACAACTACATGAGAATGCGGACACAACATACCAGAACTTATGGGACAAAATGAAAGCAGTCCTAGGAGGGAAATTTGTAGCAGTGAATTCTCACATAAGGAAAACAGAACCAGAATAGATAAACAATTCAATGCTACACCTCAAACTTCTAGAAAATAAATAGTAAGACAAACACAAAACCCATAGAAGGGAGGAAATTATAAAGATCAGAGTAGAAACTAACAAAATGTAAACCAAGACAACATAAAAAGAATTAATGAATTGAAGAGTTGGTCCTTTGGAAAAATGAATAAAATTGATAAACACTTAAGCAGTCTTAGCAATAACGGGAAGAAAAGACTCAAATGTGTGTATTGAGGAATGATAAGGATGAAGTCTCTACATATCCTGTGGAAATTCAGAAGATCATCAGTACCTACGTTGAAAATCCTTACTCTCATTGCATGAGAGTAGAAGAAATGCTCAGATTCCTACATAGATATGAATTACCAAGGCTGAATCACGAAGATACAGAAATTCTCAATTAAGCAATATCAATTAGTGAGATCCAAAATGTAATTACAAACTAACCAACTAAAAAAGCCCTGCTTATGATGGATTCACTGTTGAATTCTAAAAGAAAGTTAGAGAAGATCTAATGCCAAATCTCTTCAAACTTTTTAATGAAATTGAAAGGCAAGCAATACTCCCTAACTCTTTCCTCAAGGTAAGTATTATCCTGATACCAAAACCAGAGAAAGATACAACCTAAAAAGAAAACTATAGGCCAATCTCCCTAGTGAACAAGATCCAAAAATCTTAAATAAGCTATTAGCAAACAGAATCCAACAAATCCTCAAAAAGATTACACACAGTGACTCGGTTGGATTTATCTCAAGCATGTAGCGATGGTTCAACATACGCAAATCAATAAATGTAATACACCGTATCACCTGGGACAGAGACAAAATTCACATGATCATCTTCATAGATGCAGACAAAGCTTCTGATAAAGTGCAGCACGTATTCTTGATAAAAACTCACAGAAAATTGGAATAGATGGCCTTTATCTCAATCTGATAAAATCCATCTATGACAAACCAATGATCAACATCATACTAAATGGACAAAACAGGTCTTTGACTCTGAAATCAGGAACAGGACAAGGATGTCCACCACCACCATTCCTCTTCAACATAGTTCTAGAAACACTAGGAAGAACAATTAGAAAGGAGCAAGTAATAAAAGGAATAAAGATAGGAAAAGAAAAAGTTAAATTAGCATTACTTACAGATGACTTGGAACTCTGAATAAAAGACCCCAAAAACTCCACCAAAAGACTTCTTGAGTTAATAACCAAGTTCAGTTGTATAGCTGGATAGAAAATTAAAACTCAAAAATCAATAGCATATTTGTACGCTCACAACATTGAGAGAGAAATTACACAAACCACACTCTTCACAATAGCATGCAAAAAAATAAAATGCTTAGGTAATGAGTACATAACAATCTAATGAAGAAAGTAAAACATTTACATATTGATAATTACAGCACTCTGAAAAAGGCGATTGATGGTGATAGCAGAAAGTGGAAAAGTAGCCCTTGTTCATGGATAGGAGAAATCAAGGTAGTGAAAATGGTCATACTCCTAAAATGGGAATACAGATTTAATGCAATCCTGATCAAAATACCACAAGCATACTTCTCAAAAGCAGAGAAAATACTCCTAAAATTCATCTGGAACCACAAGAGAAGTCTAAAAGCAAAGGCAATCCTGAGCAATAAAACAGGTCGGGAGGCATCACAATCCCTGACTTGAAATTACACTACAACGCTACTGTGATCAAATCAGCATGTTATTTGGAGGACCAATAAAATAAACCTGAGGACCAGTGGAACCAATTAGAAGATGCAGACACAGCTACAAACACACTCAGCTACCTTATCTTTGCAAAGGGTCCAAACATGTTCACTGAAAGAAAGATAGCCTCTTTAATAAATGGTGCTGGAAAAACTGGCTCTGTACATGCTGAAGACGAAGACTAGATCTATGCCTATCAACATACACGAAGTCAAAGTCAAAATGAATCAAAGATTTAAATATTAAAGCAGAAACACTAAAACTACTGGAAGAGAAAGTAGTTCAAAATCTGAAAGACATTGGAGTATGCACAGTCTTCATGAACAAAGCCCAAACTGCATGGGATACACTTCAAAGAATCAAATACTGGGATCTCATCCTTGAAAAGATGTACTTCAAGAGAGATCAACAATAAAATGAAAAGACAGCCCACAGGGTGGGAAAACATTTCAGCTAACTGTCCATCAGACACAGGACTACTATATAGAACATGTGAAGAACTGAAAAACTCAGACCCACTCAAATTCAAAGACCCAACCCAAAAATGGACATCTGACATTAATGCACATGTCTCAGATAAATGCAAATGACAAACGAATACATGAACAAATGCTCAACTTTATTAGTCCTTTGAGAAATACAAATTAAAACAGCACTGAGATTGCATCTCACCCCAGTAAGAATGACTACCATCAAGAAATCAACAAAAAATGCTGAAGGGGCTGTGGGGAGAAAGGAACTCTTCTCCACTATTGGTGGCAATGTAGAGTGGTGTAACTACTTTGGAAATCAATTTGCAGATTCCTCAAAAAACTAGGATCGGAGGTCCGATTTAACTCAGGCTTTCCCTTTCTGGGTATTTTCTCAGAAAGATTAAAAACATTATAACACAACAATATATGTGCACCCATGTTTACAGCAGCACAATTTGTCATAGCAAAATCTTGGGAACAACACAAATTCCAACCAAGGAGTTCATATGAAAAATGTGATATTTTTGTACAATTGAGTGCTACTCAGCAATAAAGATAAACTTAAAGGTTTTATAGATAAATGAAAGCAAATAGAGACCATACTCACAAGTGAAATAAGTCAGACCAGCACATATAAAGACTCCCTAGGAAGAACCTGAAAGAGTAAATAAAACTGAAAGGTACACTAGATATTGTGAAAGGGAAGGAAAGTGTTCAATAGGAAAGAACAATTGGGATTAGGGAAAGGAGAAAAGAAAAAAAGAAGGGAAAAATATATACACATATGCACACACACAAGATGACTAAGATAACTGTACTACTAATTTCTATCAGATTTTTGAAAGAAACAGTTAATGTTTAATTCTTTGATCAATCTTGCATACCTGTGTCTGGCAATCTGAGCAACTACTTTGAAGATAACAATAGGAAATAAATCAAATATTGTTGATTTTCTATCACCTTAATTGTAAATTCTGCATCATTTTTATAGTTTTTGTTTTATTTTGCTTTTGTTCTTGTTTTGGTCCTTCTGTTTTTGTTCTTTCCCCTTTAAAATAATTTTTTAAAAAAGAATTATGTGGATAATATATCTCTGAGGAGCAAATAAGGCAGAAGGCTACATCATGGAAGTGAGGCTGGAAAATGTTACGTGAACAGTCAGTCACGAAGAACTGGAGCAAAGGCTAAATGACAGGATATAACCTGGCAACTACAGGCTAGAATGTAGTCTGAACAACAGGAATGGTCAGTCACAGCTGGAATACCTGAGCAGAGCAACTTCCAGTAAAGGAGATGTAGGGGGTAAGAAAGATGGCACCCATTGACTTTGCTGCCACTGCCATCTTCCTGTTCTGCTGCATTCCCGTTCCTGCAGGGGCCCACCCTGCACTCAGAACCTACCATCCATTTTCATGTATCTCTCTTTTTTGCCACCTTTTCCTCTTTTTCTTCTTTACCTTTACATAGAAGTTCCTTTTTCTTCTCTTACTTTAAGTAAAATTTACCTTTACTGGTACGTGATTTGGCCCAGCTCATTCTTCAGGTGGAACAGAAAGCCTCTGAACCTTTGAACACCTGGACCTCTGGCAACAATATCACTGTGTCTAGTGTTATGATGCAAGAGTTTCCCATTAGTCAGGAACAGTTGGCTGATGTTCAGCAGAGAAAGAAAAGAACCCTGGAGATTATAATGAGAAGTGTCCCTTCTTGTGAAGGTGCTGGAGAATCTTAATAGTGACTGATCAGCCATACACCTGGCACTGAGGTGGGGTCAAGTTTCACCCTGTCAGCAAGTGGAAGCCTATGACAACATCTCAGAGGCCAATAATGTCAGAGTTCTTCTATGTTTCCCATCCCTGTATTACTTCTCAACTATCCACAGGAAAAAGGTCAGGCAAAAGGGGGAGAAAAACCATTAGAGGAACTGACTGTCTTATGAGCTGTTATATCTCTTGAGCAGCAACAATGGGAGCTGAAAATAATACTTAGTAGAATATGAGACAGAATTGCAATGTGGATGAACTGGGTTTATTAGGCCCAGAAAGAGTGAATCATATAAAGTGTTTCACAGATGACACTAAGGAGATAGGAATGCAGTAGAATATGGTAGAAGACATGTGACAGAGGTATAAAAAGACATGTCATATTTGTGTTACAGCAATTATGAGATTGGTCAGTAAATCTGACGCTACTTCTGGCATTGCTATTACAGTAGAGCTTGTATTGTTTGTCAATACACTGGGAACATTAGTTCAGACAACACGGCTGGCCTTCATAAAGTATTCAGATAATTTATCATGCTTTATTCTACTGATAAAAGAAATTATATTTATGTAATTTGTTGATATTCAAAGCCGGTTCACATATATTCACTGAGATTATAAAATAATTTGCTAGTTGCCTTATTTGAAAGGTGAGTATCTGCCACATTAGATCTTTTTTGAGAGGATCTTCCCAGTGATGATGGCAGATTTTGTTTAGGTTTCATACCAAATGGTGAAGAGAAAGTCTGACAAAACAACATTGAATAATTTCCCAATATTGAAGAGTCAACTTTTATTTTTTAAAAAGCAACAATTTACTCCCAAGATATTTTAAAAAGCAATAAAATTGAAAGGAGCTTTCCCAAGGATTCACAGTTAAGAATCATCTCCATCAAGAAGGAATGAATGTGATCTTAGCAATCATCACATTTAAGAGCATTGCACAAGAACAATTTGAGATACTGAAAAATGGTATAAGCATCAGAAAGAAAACAGCGGAGCAGCTGAGAAGCAGTAGACACGTGAACTTCTTCATTAGCTGATTGCAGTGATGGGAGGTCTGTCCAGACAGCAGAGTCCACATTCCTGGTGAAGTCATGATCAAACTGTCACAAAATGAGAAACATTTGTTACTTCTCTTAGTGGATCTTATCTATGTTTCTTTCATTTGTTCAATTCAGATTTAGGGAAGAGAGGCTAATGTACACTTTAGCTAAGGGTGTGAGTTTCCATGTATCCTGACCGGGATATCCTGACACTGTTAGCCATCTAAGGCTACCAGGAGAAGACATTTGGCATTTATCTGTCACAAGTGATCACAGGGGAAGGACATTCCTTCCCCAATGGAGAAGGGGATGACCATAAATTAGCTCCTAGAATACAAGCATGATATTGCCAAAGGACATTGGCGAGGCTAACTTCTAATCCCTAATTTAAAGGAATTTAACATTTCTTGAATCATTCTTGAAGTGCACTCTGTGCTTTACATCTTTTGATACATCACCATTATTCTTTTATTTCCTTGAACTGAATCTATTCTTTATGTTATACCAATACCAAAGACTAAGACTTGAAAAGGACTGCACTTGGTGCTATTAGATGTAGATGCCCAAGTCAAGCTGATCTAAGATCAGAAGTTTCACATTCCACCAAAGAAATTCACTTTCCAGGGTTCCGAGAGGAGCAGCTGCCTGTTTTTAGTTTCCTATTCTTGGAGTTTCTGGTAACTGGGCTTATGAAAAAGGAACGTGGCAGAAGCTACCCTTTGTGGTGAGAGACATGCTGTGGAGGTGGGGAAATCAGAGTCAAACAAGTGTTGCACTGGCTGTGTGAGAGAGGAAGCCAGACATCCCTGTGCCCTCTAGGGGCCTCTGCAAGTGTGAGTCCTCAGAGATGGCAGAGCCCAGTGGCCATCAGGGAGCCTCTACATGAGTCAGGTGAGGTCATGCTACACCAGGTGCACCTCCAGCATAATTGTGAACCCAATGGGCTAAACCTCATGCTACAGAAAACAAGTCTTTGTAATAGAAGGCAAAGTGTGTGTGTATGTGTGTGTGCATGTATGTATGTATTGCCTTTCTCTTTGCTTTTTATTGTTTATTTTGCTTGATGTGTAAGACAAAATGTGCTTGATGTGCAAGACAAAATTGAGTTTGCAAATATCATGATATGAACAAGAATTCATCTGAGAAAAAAGGAACAGAAAATATAATATTATAGAAGAAACTGTAAACACAGAAATTAAGTACACAGTAGTGAAAAAACTACCAAAAAGTTTAAAGTATTCATTTCACACATTTTGAAGTTAATATACAATTTGTATTCATTTTTAAAATAGTCTTCTCTCATGAAAATGAAAAAATTATAACAGCCAATATGTTCTCAGGACAAACATGAAATATAAAATTTCTTCTTTTATACAAGTAATCATCTATTATTCTTAAGATAGTACATTATTTCTGGATAGTTCAGAAATCCCTAAGATATTATCCAATATTACTATTGTCTCATATAAATTAGATATATATTCAAATACTAATTCAACTTAGGTGTAAAGAATTACTTGAGAAAATTATAAATAATGAAATCAATTTTCATTTACAAACATGACAGAAAATAAAACTGATCCTCCCGTTGTACCAATTAGAAAATGAGGACCATTCCAGGAGACATACATCTCTTCTATTGGGATGACAACCTGAACTAGTGTTTGTGGACACTGCTGGTGCGCTGGCCTCCTCGGATCCTCTGTGCAGTGGTTGAGGTGGGGATGCAATTCAGGCTCATTTGCATGTTCCCCCTACTCCCTTCCTACTCTGTTCTCTGGAGCAAGAACAAAAGGGAGAGTACTAAGTAGAATCCTGACTCCTCTGTCCTGGGATAATTGAAGGAAACGTTTGTTTTGCAAGTTCTCCAATGACTTCCCTTCCTGGAAAATATTTACCAAGCCACCACAGGAGGATTCACATCCTTCCTAATTTTGTGTGCAATGCCAGAAGACAACACTTGTCAACCAAACAGTCAGTGAGATGAACTGATCTTGAAATCCTCCCTGTGAATCCCCAAGGCTCCTGCTTTGTTTAATAGCAGGATAGGAGATGCAAGATGAAGTGAAAATGTAGAAATGTTATCCTTGAAAAATGAAATATTTCCACATATTTCCCAGCACAGAAAGGACCTCTTTCATCAAACACCAAGAAGCATGCCAGGTGCTCACCTGCATGGCTATGTTCTTCATGAGGTTTTGAAGTTCTTGGTTTTGTCCTGCGATACGCTTGGCTTTATCTCTGACATAGGTACTATGTCCTGGCAGGCGATGTGTTTCATTAGCAAGGCGCAAGAGCGGCTCATTCCATGAGTACATCAAGCTAACCACATGTCTGACATCATCTGTATTCTAAGTGCCTAAGTTGGAGAAATCACGGGAAAGTAAGTGAGATACACACAGTTAGTTTCACATTACTTCTGCTCAGAAAAGCATAACAAAAACATGTCTTTGTCGTTCTTGCATGCATCTAACAATTTTCTATAAATAATAGAACTTATCAGAAAAGTATGCTTTATTCTAGTGACTCTGGTTTTTCTACAACACAAAAAGATACAAATCTGTCATACTGAAATGAATATTTTTTTGAGACTTGCAAGCAATAACTATAGTTTGTTTTCCCTTTGAAACGCCATGTTTCTTTGAAATCAGGTAGAATTTTTGTTTATACAGGAAACCAGAGGAGAGAAATTACAAGCATTGTTAAATATTTAGGGCTTGGTATACAGGCTTTACTGTCATCAGAACAGACATAAGGGTTGCAGCTCTCAAAACCAAGACATTGTAAGGAACAGGACAGACACAATAGGGGGACATTCAGTTAAGACATCGGGAGAGGCAGGGAGCATTCAAAGAGAGAAAAAGTCAGTGTTGGAGAAGTACAAGCTGGGGCTCGGCATTTAGCTCAGGGGCATAGCGCCTGCCTGGCAAGCGTGAGGTCATGAGTTCAATTCCTGGTTCCAGAAAAAAAGAGAGAGAGAGAGAGAGAGAGAGAGAGAGAGAGAGAGAGACAGAGAGACAGAGAGACAGAGAGAAGTACAAGCTGATGGGATAATATATATTTACGAGCGTGAGAAATTTGTGCATCTAGATCAAAATACTTACCACTTGATTTCGCATATTCTTTATCAATTATACCGTGTAATTCTCCTTGCATTTCTTTCCCCATCTTTCTGCACAGAGGTGCCTACGGTTAATCTTCATTACAGAGCCTCTCAGAGCCTACATGAGAGCAGTACTGTGCACTGCCTGAGCTGTTCTCCCAGAGCTGTGAAAAGAACTCACCTCAAAAGTCGAGTCATGTTTAGTGTTATTGGAAGACGGATGCTAACTGTGTGGCAAGACCCAACAGCCAGTGTAAAGTAGTCGTACGGGTTATTGGAATACCGCTTGCCCTGGAAAGATTGAGGAAAATTCAGTTCCTTAAAATATGAACCCAAGACTGATCAAACCATGAAAGGGAATAAAGAAAAATTTAAAAACACAAATCCATTGCAAGAATACTAGCAAATTACATGGATGTGTAATACTTTTGTATGAGAGCAACACAGAAACTGACAATAAAGATCAAGAAAGTAACACTGTTGCCTCTTTTGTCATTACCCCTGTAATCTCACTGTATTTCATTTAGCTCTTCTAACCTCCCTCTTCCCTTCTTTCTCACGGTGCTATTTTCTCACTCTTCCTAGAAGTTGTCATTTGGGATGTAAACACTAAAAATAGCAAAACAATGAAAGTGTAAGTGTGATAAATATGGTATCCTCTTGTTTGTACTAAATGCCATTATACACATACACCTCATTTAGCCATGCAATGTGTTGTTCCAAATTTATTTTGTCTTCCTTACATGCATGAAAACTTCTAACATTTCATTCAGTTACGTTTTATCTACATATCTGTGTTCTCTGAGTTATGCCATAAATTCAAAGCAAAATTTTTACTGTGATAGAATAAGCCATAAAACACTGTAAAATCTTTTAAGAAATTATAAGGATTGGATTGAGGTTAATTATCCAAAGAAATACTAAAACTAATATTAAGCAAAAGCAGTGAAAGTTGAAAGGGATTACTATGAAACTTCGGAAGTGTAAAGATAGTTGTGGTGGAATCAACAACTGGGATCTCATCCTACCAAAAAGTTCCTACACATCTAAAGAAATCACAAGCAGAGTAAAGAAAAAACCCACAAACTGGGAAAATATTTTAGCTGACTGTCCCTCGGACAAAGAACTTCAATCTAGAACATACAAAGAATTGAAAACCATCACCCCCTCCCCAAATTCAAAGACCCAATCCAAAAATGGCCAGCTAAGATAAATTCACACTTCTCAGATAAAGAAATGCAAATGGCAAAAAATACGTGAGAGATAATGTTCAACATCATTAGTCATTTCAGAAATGCAAATTAAAATAACATTGAGATTTCAGTTCACCCAATTAAGAATGGCTATCATTAAGAAATCAACCAATAACAAATGCTGGCAAGGCTGTGGAGAAATAGGAACCCTTCTCCACTGCTGGTGGGAATGCAGACTGGTGAAGCCACTGTGGAGATCTGTATGGAGTTTCCTCAGAAAGCTAGGTCTAGAGGTCACATTCAATCCAGCTATTCCCCTTCTGAGTATTATCCCAGAAAACATCATATCACAGCGATATATGTTCACCCATGTTCATAGCAGTGCAATTTGTAATTGCTAAATTATGGAAGCAACCCAAATGTCCATCCACTGAGTAATGGATAAAAAAATTGTGGTACTTTTATATAATGGAATATTACTCAGCTATAAAGAAAGATAAACTCAAGGCTTTTACAGGTGAATGGTCACAACTGGAGACCATACTCATAAGTGAAATAAAGCATACCTCCATGTGTAAACAATGTATTGTCTCACTAGTGTGAGAATCTGAAAGAGTGAATATAAACTAGTAGGTATGACAGACATGATGAAGTGAAAAGAAAATGCTCAAAAGAAAAGAGCAACTGGGGTGAGGGAAAAGAGAAAAGAAAGAAGGGGAAACTGTCTATGTATCTATATATAGAATAGCTAGTATAGTTGTACTACTGATTTCTATCACTTTACTGAACAGAACAGTTAATGTACTCATTTGATCGACCTTGCATGTCTCTATTTGCTTTCCTAAGAAACCACTTTGAAGACATCAATACATCATACAACAATCCTTGCTAATTTCCTACCACTTTTTCTGCAACTCTGTATTGTTTTGTATTGTTCTTATGCTAATTTGTAAATGAATGTGTTTATTAATATGTTATCTCTTCTTTTATTTTTAAAATAAATTTTTATAAATTTATAAAAGATACCTGGGGTGGAAAAGAAACTGTCCTACATTTTATGTGAATATAAATTATTGCAAAAAATACGGAAAACATTGTAGATATTATTAAAATTTAATTATGAAAATTCCATTACACACAACCAACTCCTATCTAGTTATCCCCCCTTAAGAGCTGAAACAACATATCACAGCCATACATGCATGTCAATATTTATGACACCACAATTAATTCATAACAGCTAAATCTTATCAGCATTTCTGTGAGTGCATGAAGCAAATGAAGCAACTGCACAGAATGAAATAAAACTCAGGTCTAAGATAAGATACATTTGAGACACTGATGGGAAAATTAATATATCTTGGAAATCTAATGTTACCTGAAAGAATTCAGGCACACAAGCTTTCGGACCACTTTTGAGTTACCAAAATACAAATAAACAGTAAAATAAAAGAATGATAAGAAGCAGCTTGATGGGTCTTTTGTAAAGGATCAGGGGCCAGGACAGTGACAGTCCTGGAAGACAGGAGGGCAAAGAGACATAATACTTACAATGTGTCATGATCCTGCACCAAATTCTTTCAATATATGTAATTATTACATGTGACAAAATGAAATAAAATAGAAGCAACAAGACACAAAAATGGGGGAAAGTTATCTTGAGGCAGAGGGAAGGAAGTGGGTAGTGGGAAATCCAGGGAAAAGAATCAGTGTGTGTTAAGTACATGTACCCACTCTCTATGATGACCATGAGCACCATGCGCTGCAGACATGTCCTAATAAAAGACGTAAAGATAGGCTTGGAGAGGAGGAAATTAAAGAAGCAGGAGTGGGACTTAAAACCATGAAAGACACACATTAATGTAAATACTGGGACAGGTTCTCCTTGGAGGGCTTTTGTAATACTAAGACCTAGTCTGCTCTCCACCACGTCACTGTCCTGCAATATGTCGCACACAAATTTCAACGTAATTTTCTGAAAAGGAGTGAATGTGTCTCCACATGTAGCATTGCCCTTCTGTTGTGCTGATAGACTCCCGCACTGCAAATCCTACGATAATGTGTCCCAGCTTCGTGAGGCTTCCAAGGAGCTGCTGACGTGGGTTTCTTCCCTCTGACATGGAATCAGTTTAGTTTCCTTTTGTTTGATGCACCTAACTCATGCAAAGCAGTCCACCTTTCTTGGATGTCTGCAGTGTGTTCTGCGAAGAATGTGAAGGACTCGCCCTGCATGCAAGAGCAGGAAAGGAGTGCTCCTCTTATGTGCCAAGTAAAAGGTTGGTATTTGGACTTTAAATCTGTGACAATTATATGAAATAATTTCAATAATTAAAATTTTCAAAATGTTTTAAATCCTTAATTTCTTTAACAAGCTGAGATTTTCCCTTTGTGCTTCTTCCTGATCTTGTTAGTTTCTATAACTTGTTCATACAAATTATTTGAAATTTGGCAGAGTAGGTCTTCAAATTTTAATTTTTGTGACCCTCAACTGTCTGAAATCTCTGCGCAAGAAGGGGCAATTGTGAGGTACTTACCAAATCAGTGAGGACCTTTTGGGTGTAGAGGTAGATGACATAAGCCTTAGAGAGCAAGGGGACAAAGAGATGTTCATAGGTCTCCGTGCATTTGTCTTCACACAAGGGAAGGGAGGTCACGTCCTTGCACACGAGTAGGCTTGACATGAGCAGCAGCAGTAGGAAGAACCCTGCATAAATTAAAATACAAGCCACTGGCAGATGGTCTATTTAACCAAAATAAATCCTGCAGGAAGCTGTTGCCTCCCCTCATGGCCTAGGATGCACAAAATGGCAGTGTAATAGCTGATATGGGAGAGAACCGACACGTTCTGCTCTGTACATTTAAACATAAAGTGCTATCTGGAGAGATACATTGTTTGAGATGTGGGTGAGGTCCATGATATTTTATTACACTGGGAAGTGCTTCTGGGGCAGATGAGAAGGGCTACACACTCATTTTTCACCTCTGGAGAGGAAGGCGTGGCTGGGCCAGCAGCCCTTTCCTTGCTCCCCTCCTTCCTTTGCTTGGCTTGAAATCCCAGCAGAATGGCCGGGTTTCCTTCAGTGTCCACTTCTCTATCAAACTGCCTTTTTCTTGTCCAACAAGAGTACAGCCATGCAGCATGGTGCATCGCCCATCCCATTCCGTGCTTTTGCATTTTGAGGTCCGAGAGGGAACCTGTGGGGGCCGCCATCAGGAAGGAGGGATGTGAGCCCTTTCTTTGCATGCCCACATTCACAACAACCTTCCAGAAGAACCGTGGTTTATGTCATCAGCCCGATGATGAGAGGACTGCCACCTGTTTCATTAGGAGCACTTTGTGGGCCCCTGTGAGATCCAAGTCCAAGAAGGTTCCTTCCTGCATGCTGGCTGTGCTGTGCTGCAGCACAGGCCCTGTGACAAAAAGCCTCACATTGTTGCTCCTTAAACCTGCTCATGATTTATTTTTTAGGTACTCTTCAAAAATTCTGTAAATCTCTTAGGGTTTTTATCCTGAGTAACACATCAAGCTGAGTTGGATTCCTAAAAATTAATAAACACTCAGAGGTCTGACCACAAAAGATTTCCAGAGACCAGCAGCCAATGAGGACAAGCAGAAAGAACCCAGAACCTACTGGAGTCCAACAAGACACAGTACAAGATGGCCTCAGTCAGTGACAGCCAACAGCAGCAGTGACCAGCAGCCTGCTGTGTCAGCTGCTGGTGTCCTGCTTTGCCTGGTGACATCAGCACTTCTAGTTGACATGCACTTTGCAGATTCACGATTTCCCTCTGAATCAGGCAGAACCCTAGGGTGATTTGAAATCTTCTCTATTTTACAAATATTTGGACCTTAGGTGAACTCTGATTAGGGATATTTTAATAATTCTCTTGAAACTGTTCATGTTTCTCCTAGAGATTCCTGTAGATTTCTACCACTGTAATTCCCTGAGACATTGTAATTGTGTTCATGCACTATCGGATATTTGGAGTTTGGAAACTGATATACCGAAGCAACCACAGTTTATGTAATTTTTTTATCTTCTTATACAATTGCTTCTTCCTTGTACTGTGAAGGAAACCCTACCATCAAGACAGTGCCAACACTGGGACTGCTGACACAGCAGTATCATTAATGCATTTTTCTTTGATCTTTTGGAAAATCTTCATATTTTTCTCTAAATTTGATCTTTAGCTTCATCCTGGAAAATAGACTGAGGTTTGAAATTATCAAGCTGTACATGTGAATTACACCACTTAAACTATTTACTTCATTTGCCCCAGGTCCTGTTATCAGCAGGTGGGAGAGACAGGACAACAATGCTGCAGTCCCTGCGCTTCACCTCGGCACACGTGCACCTATGTGTGTTCTCAGGCTGCATCTAGCAGCAGAGACCACATCAGTGGAAATGAGGTATTATGGGTCCAACACTTGTTACCATCTCTTGTGAAGAACAACTGTTTGCATTTGGATGGTGGATAATATGGACCTACAAATTTTGACTTCACATTGTTTACTTGCTGTATAAAATTCCCACATCAAAATATTTGACATGAGCCAAGTTGTTTACATGAATTTATTGTTTCAGTAACCTGGAAAACATAGATCTCCAGTATATTAATAATTTATATCCATCAATTGAAAGAAACCACAGGTAGCTCTGCCCTTTAAAACAGATTTTGCCTTCATTTACAACATTCCAGATGAATTTCTGACATAAAAATGTGATCATGGGAAGATGAATTTCCACTGAATTTTTGATAAATGTGATTGGAAATCTCCAAAATGAAACTATGCAAATATAGGAATTATATATGCGAAGAAAACTAAAAATATCTAAAATAAACATCATTAAATTGTTAGTCTAGCATGTATTTAAATAACATTTTGTTGTAAAATTTTAAAAATTAGATATAGTTACTTTAGAGACTTATTTTTCCAAATATATAAGCATTCCATACACTGAATATGTGGATGTTATTCTAACATCACAGTGAAAAATGGATATTAAAATGTGCTTGTCAGATAGAGAAATTGAGAGAGCTCTCTGGGAAATGTACTGGACGCATAATACCTCTGAAGACATTGTCCTGCATATTTGTCAAAGGAAAAATATTCACAGTCGAAGATATTGTAAAACAGAAAAGTATTTTTCTTCTATCGATCTAATGATTTTATGGTCATTACTAACTTAAAATTTTGTAAATATCATCAACAATATAAAGAAGTTATGTTAGCATCACCCTTTGTTTTTTTTCACTTTAAGAAGCCACTTTGCTTGAACCAAACTGACAAGGCAGTATAGGATGTACATCTGAAATCACTGACTGAACTTTTGCTGCTGACTGGAAAGTTCATTTAGGATCACTCAAATTGGTCAATTCCTGTGCTACACTGCAAAATCAGAAAATATTATGTAAGCCTTCGGGAGTTGTGACAAATTGGACCCATTGACATTTATGATCTTATTCTAGAGAACAACTTCTCTAAGTCCATATTTTTACCTTTTGGAACTAGATAATTCCCTGTCCTGGAGTCTCGACTTTGCACTGAAGAATCCTTAACCAGCCCAGTCCTCTGCCTGTGGCCTGTCACACCCTCTCCACATGACTCGAGCCTCCAGGGATGCCAGGGGAAAGTCCCCAGCCATTGCGAGACGTCCAGGAGGAGGAAGACTGCAGCATTACAGCATCTGGAAATTCTACTGTCTCCTGTGCAACAGCTTTGCAGAACAACAGTTAGATAGTGCTCCTAGAACCATAAATCATAAGCCTCTTGCTTTGAGCTAAACGTTTATATTAACCCACACAGGAATGTTAAAGAAACCAAGAACTCACTGAGTGTTGCACGTACCTTTCCTTTGGCCTTCCGTAGCGGTGATCCTGATCAAAAACACACTTCACCAATGAAGAACAGACCAGCTGTATCACGTTCAAATTCAATTCTTGGTTTACAAACCTTCGAAAATTTTATGAACATAAGAGTCAGGCATTATACTTATTCATCCCAGCCTACTCCTTCTACCACTGAAATTGTGCATAATGTCAAACATAAAATGTCTCATTTCTCAGTCATACTTAGGAAGTCATACAGTCATAAATGAAGGATTTTATCTACTGAAACTAAAAGGAGATAAAAGAAATAATGAAGGCAGAACCAGAGACCGGCTTAGGCTGGACAATATCCTCATTCACTTAACTCATTTACTTTGTATAATTTTTAAATTACTCTACACTTTCTTGAGTATAAAATACTATATTTTGCTAGATAAAAACTCTCATGCATGATCATTCATAAAATTTCTCATTCAAGATTGTAGATGAATTATAAGTTTGAAAAGTTATGCATTAGACATATAGAATAAGGATTAAAAAGTAATTTTTGTTACCTGCTATGTGCTGATTATATTTTCATCAATTTCTCTTTGCATCTATGCCTTTCTTTGTACACCTCTTATAATGATTTACCATTATTGTACCTTGTTTTAGAACAGATATTTTAGCTGTCTATTATTCTTGAGTTTTACATTCACAGAACATTGTACTATTATTTGAATTTAGAGATTTGTTAACCAACTTGAACAAAGTAAACACAAAGGTATAGCAGAATTCTCCAATACGAAAGTTAGGTGCAAGAAGGATGTTTGCTTCAAGAGGAAAAGGGAGGGATGGTTAAGAAGCCAGGCCAGAAATCATTGACACACATTGTCATGCATGTTTAAGGTGTGTAAGATCATTGACCTTAGAAAGCTGCCTTAGAAAAAAGGGAAGGAAGGAAGGAGGGAAGGAAGGGAGGAAGGAAGGAACGAAGGGAGGGAGGGAGGGAGGAAGGAAGGAAGGAAGAAAGGAAGGAAGGAAGGAAGGAAGGAAAGAAAGAAGGAAGGAAGGAAGGAAGGAAGGAAAAAGAAAGGCAGAAAGATAAAAAGAAGAAAGAAAGAAAGAAGGAAAGAAAGAAAGAAAGAAAGAAAGAAAGAAAGAAAGAAAGAAAGAAAGAAGAAAGAAGATAGAAAGAAAGAAAGAAAGAAGGAAAGAAAGAAAGAAAGAAAGAAAGAAAGAAAGAAAGAAAGAAAGAAAGAAGAAAGAGAGACAAAGAAACAAAGAAAGAAAAAAGGGGAAGAATAGAAAGGAAAAATAAAGACAGAAGAAAAGAAAGAAAGAAAGAAAGAAAGAAAGAAAGAAAGAAAGAAAGAAAGAAAGGGAAAGAAAGATTGTTGTTCTTGAGGGTAAACACACATGCAGATAATTTCAGTGTATATGATACAATAAAACAAAATTTGACCGCATGATATCTACCATGCTCAGAGATACAAGCCAAGAAGCTACAATTAACTTATGGTAAATCTGCCTTTTCAGACTTCACTCTAAGGAAATTGAAATTTCATGGATTCATCAGTTCCTTTCACCTCGTGGAGTTTTCCGAGGTGACATGATGAGAGCAAATAAGAATAAAATTTGTGATCATTTTCTCTAACTTATTTTCATCATCAAAAGCAGCATGTGAATTTTTATTTCACTTCCAAAGTAGACAAACAAATGGAGCAAGTTTAACAAAGAAATCCACTATGGCACCTACTTTCCCCATCACTGTTAGGATGATGTTGATACTTTAGAGATGATCT